CCCCCCCCCGGCAGGAGCGGCCTTACGGAGAAAGGTTCAAAGCACTGAAGTTTAACCTTGGGACGTTTCCTAGGCTGGCACCGCGACCCGCCTGACGGGAGGGGAAGGGGCTGTGCTGGCAGAAGCACAAAGGAGTGGGTTTAAAGCAGGGGGATCTGCCAGGAGTCTGCTGTAAGAGAGGCTCCGACGCCATCCCGATGGAGGTATGGATGTCACTGAGGAGAGAGGTGGGCGTGATGAGGAAAATTCCATCTGATAGACTCAACAACATGACTTTGGAGTATGAAAGGATGGAGGAATTCTCCTCAGCCCTGTGCTTCCTCTGGATATTACCTAGAGATACTGCTGGATGCTGAGAAATGAGCTGGATCATGATCTTAATGACCGTGGGGTCCACGGGCCTACAACTGGGCCACCCAGAGAAGTGCAGCTCTTTGTGTGGTTTTGTTTTCACCCTCTTCTATTAGCTGTGCCTCTGTCATGTACATTCTTAGATATTGTAAAGGAGCTCTTTATCTTTAATTTAGCTTAATTTGACTTGCTTTAAGAGTGGTTTGGGATATGGGAAGACATTAAGTCATGCTGCTGGCTCTCACAGCACACCCCCATTTTTTCATGTATCCAACAAGCTACAAGGTTGGCCCTCACTCAGACAGAGGGACCAGCATGGAACATGATGCTGCAAGAGGATTGTATAAAGAAGTGGGTATAAAATGTGTGTTCGGGTGGCTGCTGTTAGCACACAGTGGAAAGTGCCTGAAGGCCTGGGAGAGTAATTTATGCAAACACCCTAACTGGCTTGCTTTACCCTCTACTGGAGCAAGAACAGATATGCCCAAAGAACAGAAGTGTTTCCATATCACTAAGCAATCACCAGTGGCTAGTTAAAATTCATTTGATGGGTTAAAAGTTAAAATTTATTTCATGGTTTCTGAGTCTGGAAATCCTTCAAGACAGGGTATTTAGCAGGGAGACTGGATCTGAATAAACTACCAAAGAACAGACTCAGCCTAACAACATACCTTTAATGAATACAGATATTTTCATTCCCTAGAAATTATTAAACAGGGATCAGAAATGGGAAATATTGTCTCTGTGAGAGACAACAGCCTTTGTGTTGTCTCAACTCTCTTTGTTTTGCATTTCACAATGAGGAAGTCACACTATCAGGAAACCTACTGCTGTGTAAGAACACAAAGTGCCTGGTTTCTTTCTTCTCAAGTCAGAAAAGTCACATGATTTAGAAGTTGAAGTCTCAGCAAAAAAAAGACCCAAACATTTTCTCCCTTGGCTGTTTTTGAAAGTCCTGCTTTAATTTGCTCAGAAATATGCTGATATTTTGTTGCTCAAGATAATACAGTTCATTTGATTTAGCTTTCAAATTCACAAGGCAGAATCAAAAAATATTTTAAAAAATTCATTATGTGTCAAAAAGCATTGAACAATAGGAAATGCATAAAATTTAGTGAAAAAAACCTTTAAAATAGCTAATTAAGATATCTAGATCTCAGAGACTATGGTACAATTATTTAGTTATGTATTATTAAGGGAATGTTCCCAGAATAAGTAAGTTTAATAAGAATGGTGAGACTATTTTACAAAAAGGCTCCAAAGGACCTCAGTTTGTGAATTAATCAGACTAATTTGGCATGTGTTTTACAACTTCTTCCTTTTGTCTCTGGTCTGTTTATCTTTGAGCAGGTTCCATGTCATCTTGACGTAGCTGAGGCCAGTGATGAAATCTTTAATGACCTGCACACGGCTTGGATTTTATCCTTCAGGGATCACAGCCTGCTATCTGCCCTTCTCTCCAAGGAATGAGTAGTGGCAAGTCTCCTGAAAAGGATCAACGTTTTTTAAAATTGTGCAAATATGTGTGCTGGCAGGTGGCTAGCAAATGTGTTTAAGGTAAACCAATGTTGAAATAATCTGTTATAATGAAATATGCACTGAAGTCTGGATTAGCTCTTCTGTACCAGCCAGCTGCTTCTTCCATGCAGAACCTGCTGACTGTGAATCCATCTGCATTTCCAAGAGGGTTGGACTTTGGTGTTTGAGATGATAAAATAGAACTATCTGAAATGTGCATAACTCCTATTATTCTTACTGTATCATTTCCCTAAATATTACTCATAAGAGAAACAGAAAAACTTGTGCAAAATAGCAAGCAGCACTTTCTTTTTTAGCATGCAACAGGAACTGTTATAAACAGCTGTTAATAAAAGCACATGGAGCATTGTGTGGTGACTGAAGCAAGTTCTCCCCACATCCTGCCCGGAGATGGAGGGCTTCTCTAGTCTGAAGATACAGGAAACAGCCAAGCCAGTCCCCCCAGATCCTTTCACAGCAATGCAACTGAACAATTTATTCAGAGTTATGGGACCCCATCTGCACTTGTATCAAAAGCATGTTTCTATTTGCATCTAAATTTTCTAATGTTCTCTTTCCTTGGAGGATGGACAGAAAGGCTCAAAGTGGGCACCAGCTTTCTTTCTTTACTGTTCAACTAATCAAACTCTCTTCCCCTGTTTTAATTTTTGATTTCCTCCTTCGCTAGGAAGATTCCTTGCATTCCTGTATGGATACCTCTCTCATGCCTCAGAGGTTCTCTGTTGTAATAAATAAGAGGAGAAGGAGAAAAACTCCTTGTTCCACATTAAAATGTAGTGAGTTAATGATTTTTGATTGTGCTAATAAATATTTCCAAGTATTTCAATCCAAGTTGTATGTCCTGTCAAATCTCTGGAGCAACATACAGAAAATGCAATTAATATTCAGTATTGACCTGTAATTTTTCATAATTTTGGACATTTGGGATTCTCTTATCATTTTCCACTGGTTGTTTTTTTTGTAATCCTTAGACCTTGTGTTGATATTTATGAGTTCACAATTACTTCTGATGTTTTATTCAAGCCATTTAAAGTTTATCAGCACTAAGCTGTACCTGGAAAAAAATCTGTCAGAATAGTACAAATACTAAATAAATACTGCATGAGCAATGCTCAGAATTCAGGGCAAATGCAAAATTAAAAGTTTCATGTGATAAAGCTACATGAATTTTCATATGCTGGCAATAAAAGGACCATAATTTTTCTTCATTATCTTTGAAAACATATTTCAGATCATTAGAACCCTGTTCCTGTAGGCTAATACATCTTATCTGCCATTTGTAATTATGGAGTTTAATGAATTTGGGATTTACACATAACTAATTATCTGCCTGAATCCAAAAATCATCTATGCCATGTACAAATGATTTGGGGTATAAAAGTTATAGAAGTAAATGTTGGGAAAGAATCCAGCCAGGCCTCAGTTTTGGATAGAGTAGAAGTATTGTATCTGGATACAGTGGAAGTCGCTTTGGCTCTGATCCTGCAGTGTACTTAAATCAGGGGGAAATATCTCAGGCCTTAAAAAGAAACCTATGAAATCTATTTTTTCCCTATAATTATCTAAGGGGGGTTTGCACGATGAGGAGGTGTTTTTATTATGTATCACAGTCACAGTTTTGTCTTTGGTACAGTTTTCTGCACTGCCTAGAGGTGATTCTTTCATGGCAGCTTGATTTTTGACCTTTCAGCATGCATATATACCAGGCTTCCACATTTTTTTCCCCACGACCAGATGAGTGAGAAGCTTTGCAACAGCGCCCTCAGCTTTTTCACGGAATCACAGAATGGTTCCAGTTGGAAGGGATTTTAAAGACCATCTAGTTTTCAGGTGTTACCCTTACATGTGATGAATTAATGTACTTTGTTAATGTACTTTTTCTACATGTGTTTGCCAGAACATGTTTTTTCATATCCTCATCCAATCTCACTGGTCATTTGCTAAGTCTTCAGCAAGATGTGCTTAGCAACTTCATTGCTAACTTGCACCTGCTGTAAACACTGTTCTGCTGGCAAGCTGAAATGGCCAGTGAGAACCACAAATATTGTGGTTGGTGTGGAAGCCACGGGCTGCAGGGACACGTGCATAGATCCCAGTCCTGGGGAGGTGCAGCCAGGATTGTGGAACTGCTCTGGTCCTTATGGGCTCTGGGGTGTCATGGGCTGCCCCTCTCACACACCCCAGTGCAGCTCCCTTGTCATCGCTGCTCTGTGTTTCTCCAGCTCCTAGAAATAAAAAAAAAAGAAAAAAAATCTGATTAATTGAACTTGTTGATTATTTGCCTATGCAAAACACACAGCTTATTTAACCAGCTCTATTTTCACAAAATTAATTAGGTTGGAAAAGACCTGAGATTATCGAGTCCAACCCGTGACCGCACACGAACCTGTCAACCAGATCAGGGCACTGACTGCCACACCCATTTCTTTTCCTAAACACTTCTAGGGACGGTTACTCCAGCAACCTCCCTGGGCAGTTCATTCCAAAGTCTAAACACCCTTTCCGTGAAGAAATTGCTCTGCCTAATGTCCAACCTAAATCTCCCCTGGCGCAGCTGGGAGACTGTAAGTCATAGTCATAGTAAGACTGTGTCCTCTCGTCCTGTCTCTGGTTGCGGGGGAGAAGAGGCTGACCCCCACCTGGCTACTCCCTCCTTTCAGGGAATTGCACAGAGTGATAACGTCACTCTTCAAGATTTTAAACCTCTCCCCGTTAGGAAATTCCGAGGTTCTCAGTTACCCTCCCTAGCAGTGCCACCAAGTGACGGGCCGGGGCAGGAGGCCGTGTTCCCCACGGCCATGTGACGGCTTGGGGCGCTCCTCAGGCTCCGGGCACAGCGCCCAGCTGAGCGCTGCCAGCCCGCCTTCCTCACGGCACAGTGGAAAAACGGAGCATTAAAACCAAAAAATAACGATGTTTGTTAAGAGCGAGTCCCGGCAGGGCCCGCCCGCTCTGCCGGGCCCGCCCGACGACTAACGGTGTCCTGCCCCAACCT